CATGAGGCCCCCAAAAAGCCACCGAGAAGCTTTCAGGAATCTCGCAGGAGGCCCCAGGAGTCACCAAAAACGCCCCAAGAAACCTTTTCGTCCCCACCCTCACTGTCTCAGTCTACTCCTACGTCCTCCTCCTCAATGCCGCGCAGACGAAAACGAGGTCGGGATCGCAGACCGTCCGAATGCAGACTGCGGGGCGGCGGGGTTTGCAGCCCCGCAGTCGGCATTCGGACGTGTTACGAAAAGGATATATATAAAAAACTGTTCTACCAGCCCCCCCCCCCCCCTGAGGTTACCCCCCCCAAGGGATTCTGACCCAGTGCCCATCCTACCTGTGAGTTCATCACATCGCGTATCGCGGCCAGGCTGGCATCGCCCCCCCCCCCCCCGTCATCTGCTGCAAAGAGCCCTAATGCGCGCAAATTCGTTCATGGAACATGTGCCATGACCCCGTGCAAAATGGAGCACGCGCGCGCGCGTCGTCGCGCGCGCATGCCGAAATCCTGCAAGAACCTCATGGCGTCGGAAGGATGTCAAAATCGAGCGCCCAAAAAACCATGCGAAACGCTTGGTTTCGCAAAGCGAAGTTGCACCAAAAAACACGCGCGCCCGCTCTTGCGAATTCTCATTTTAAAAATGGTTTCAATTATTTTTCGTTTTCTTTTAACACAAACAAAAACCTACGCATTTTCCGACATTTTCAGAACATGATACCAAGCGGGCTCCGCGCGCACATGTCGAAATCGTTCGAACGTCAATGCGCGCGTGCTGGGGTGGCGCGATGCGCGTCAGAGAATACAGTGCCGACCGCTCCCGCGCGTCTGCCGCGCGCGCTGTCGAATCCCATTTTTCACAACTTGCATCACCGACGCGAAGACGCCGTCATCGTCGTCGGCGCGATCGGCATCGGCGCCATCACTGGCCGCGCCGTCGTCGCTGTCAGCATCGTCGCCAACATCGGTACTATCATCATCGTCGCGTCTACAATTGCCGACGTGGCCATGATACCGCGCCCGCCCGAGTCGCCGACTCGCACTCAAGTGCCCGCCTGGATGCGCCGAGCGGTCAGCACCGCCGCGGCCGCGTCGGTCGCGCCGAACTACTTGGCCGCTGCAAGCGCGCGAATGCGCGGGCCGGCGCGGGCGCGGAGATGCACCAGCCAGCGTCGAGCACTCATCGCAATCGCCGCCGCATGAGGTTTGAAAACCAGGTTGCGGGCGGGCGGGTGGAATGTCTGCGCGAGCAGTGGAGTGGGCAACTCGCTGCGAAGAGGAATTAATTGCACTGCGTAGATTGCGCCACGCGGACAGCACGCTGCATATGCTTATGTGCTTCACCGAAGAAACTGCACCACATATATTGCACTGCGAGATAGATTGCACAAGGTAGATTGCACCACGCAGATAATGATTCCAAAAAAAAATAATGATCAGCCACCCCCGATGATCCGCAACCCTTTGGGAAGTGCACAAAGAACAAACGCTGAAACCGAATCCCCCCTCTACATGCTAACTCAAAAAATCTCAACCAACCTGGCATCGCCCCCCCGCCCGCCCCCCCCCCCGCCTTCGCCGCCCCTGGCAAAGGGGAAAAAAAAAAAAACATGCTCGCGCACTTTCCCATCTCCAAACCCTTGCTTCAACGACCCATCTGCGGAAGAAAACTGACGGAGTACGCGCGCGCGCGTCGTCGCGAGCGCACCCCCGAACCCTCTCAACAAACGCGCGGTTTCGTAGGGGGGCCAATATCCGCCGCCCCGAAAACAGCAGAAACAACAACGATTCCGCGGCAGGAAGTGCATGCAACAAACTGCGTTCACTTTGTTGCCGCATCCCTGGAAAACCAACAGTATTTTCCAACGTGCTCATCAAACGTTTCCAAACGTGGCCCTCGCGCGCGCGCGTCGGAATCTTCCGAGCGCCTTTTTGCCCGCGCGCGCGTCGTCGAAACCATCGAGCACGAAAACATGATAAAGTGCACGCGCGCGCACCATGGCGCGCTGCGTCACGAAATTCTGCAAAGCCATCATTCAGCTTGGAGGTCAAAACCGGATGCCCCGAAACCATTATATATATAAACAAAACAACACGGCGTTGCAACAAGCATGTCATGCACGGTAAAACTGCGCCCGGGCTTTTGCACATGTTTGAACAGACCGCAGCTATTTCACGCGTTCATCACATGTTACCGAACGAAATGTTTGAGCAGACCAGAGGTATTTCACGCGTTCATCAAATGCTACCGAACGCGCCCCTCGCGCGCCCACGTCGAAAATCAGTCCTTGCGCGCGAGCGGGGAGGAGGCACGATGGGCGACAATGACTCCACGCGGGCCACTCGCGCGCGTCGGCCACGCGCGCGCATCGAAGCCCCCCCATGACCTTCATCGCCGACGCGAGGACACCATCGTCATCGGCGTTATCAGCGTCGGCGCCGTCATCGTCATCGTCACCAGCGTCGCTACTATCATCGTGGCGCATGCCGTTCTCGACGTCGCCGTGATACCGCGCCCGACCGGATCGCCGACTCGCACTGATGCGCCCGCGCGTCAGCGGCCTGCAAGACGCGCCGGGAATTTCGCAACGGCCAGCGCCAGCCCCGCCGGTCGCCCCAGACTAGTTGGCCGCTCTGCGCGCGAGCCTGCGCGCGATAGCGCGGCAGCAGCGACGCGCCAGACAGCGCGAAGCACTCATCGCAGAAGCCGCCGCGTGTTTTTTGCAAACCAAGTTGCCGGCGGGCGGGCGGGATGTCGGCGCGACCATGGGAGGCGGTCACGCGCGAGGAAATCAATGTCAACTCCGCCACTTTTACTGCATCATGCCTATATTATTAATTCTCTGTCTAAAAGGACTCTACCCCCCGGGGCTACCCCATCCCCGTCCGACTTGCAGGTTGCATTGGATTCTGCCCCATCACCCATCCTAAGTGCAAACTCACCCAGCCCGGCCGGCATTGCACCCCCCCCCGCCCCCGCCATCCTCGGCAACAAATGCAATTCGCGCGCACTCGTTCACCACAACTCCTGACATGTCAGAAATCCTTTTGCAAAATCCGGGACGACGTGCAAACGCGCGAGTCGTCGCGCTCGCATGCCGATATCCTTCAAAAACCGTCTGCACCGTAAGGATGTCGAACTCGAGTGGCCAAACAAAACATATAAAAACACTTGGTTTCGCAACGCGGATTTACAAAGCAAACTTACGCGCGCGCTCTTGCAAATCCTAAAAACAAACTCAGCAAGCAGTGCCACAACATGTTACCAAGCGGGCTTCGCGCGCGCGTCGACATCGGTCGGACGCCCTTCCGCGCGTGCCGTCGCGAGAACCCTTATGCGGAAAAACGAATAAATAACGAAACGCACGCGCGCGCGTCGTCGCGCGCGCATGCCGAAGACCGTCAAGAACCTTTGGTTCCGGAACCACTTCAAAACCGAACGTCCAAAAAACATAAGAGAACACATGGTTTTCGCAACGTCAGTTGTCAAAAAAGCGTGCGCTCGCGCCCGTGAGAATTCTTGAGAAAACCAAAAGTTGCTCAACGTTGTGGTCGAATTCTGCCAAGCGGGCCTCTCGCGCCGCCTCCCGACATCATCCGCGCGCCCTTTGTGCGAGTGCTGGGGGCGGGCACAATCCGTGCCAAATAAAACCATGCGGGCCACTCTCGCGCGTCGGCCGCGCGCGCATGTCGAACTCTTTCCATAACCTTCATCACCGACGCGAATACGCCGTCATCGTCGTCGGCGTGATCAGCATCGGCGCCCGCACTGACCAGGCCTTCGTCGTTGTCAACATCGTCACCAGCATCGCTAGTAGCATAATCGTGCATGCCGCTGTCGACGTTGCCACGATACCGCGCCCAAGTTGCGGGTGGGTGTGTGGGATGTTTGCAAGAGCATGGGAAGTGTCAACTCGTTTGCGAAAATCACTTCAACTGCATACATTGCACCACGAATATTGCACTGTAGGAAGCAGTTTGGGGCTCAGTAAAAAAGAGATGGCCAGAACAAGTACAGCTACACGAACACACGAACTTTTCGGGGTTCCGGACGGACTTCGGAGGTCGGCGCTGGCCAGAGGTGCCTCCAGGGGGGCCAGCGCCAACCTGAGAAATCCGCGCTGGCATTCGAAAATGTACGCGAACGCAGTTTCTTCTTGGGTGCGACCAGGGGGTCTGCGCTGCATGGGGCCACACAAAAATCTAACAAGAGCGGGGGTGGCGAGGGCAAATCCGCCATCAGTCGGTCCCCGGACCCGGAGTCGAAGCTGACCGGCTCCCCGAGTCGCGACCAGCCGTGGCGACGAGGAGGCCTCTGTCTCCCTCATTCCTGCTGGCCCGAACCAGTGCTGGGCAACCTGAGAACCCAGCCAGCTAAGGGGGCCGCAGCTCAGGGGGGGACAGCTCAGGTGGGGGAACATCGGCCTGGAGTCGGCGACACGCCGATGAATCGGCGATTTGCCACCGATAGCAAAACGACATGGCCCTGAGCGGAGTTGGGCTGCCAGGCCCCTGTCGGCAATGAATGGGCGATTGTGGGCGGGGTCGATACATCCCCGCCTGAGCCTATCCCCCTCTGACGTCAGCACGCCCGAGATGGTGCGAACAAATTGTACGACGTCCAGCAGCACACGTTTTCCAGATGCGACAGCGGCCGCTGCTCTAGGCAGGCGACCGTGCGCCTCAAAAATGGACAACGCCCGCGGCGGTGCAGGCAGCGAGTCGTGCGCAGAGTGAGCAAGAACTGCTGTCGGCCCTCGCCACCGTCCTCTCCGCACTCCGAATCCCATATCAAAGGGGGGGTCACAGACCTCCAAGACAAGCAAGATTAGAAATCCCCCCGACAAGCCATGACAGGGCAGCCTGTTGCTCAGGCCCCCCAGAGCCCTCCAAGGCAGCTCAAATCAGACCCCCTCCAAATCTGACCGACCCTCCTAATGAAAGTAGGAGTGCCCACTTCGGCCCTCCAGATTATAGTTCATCGAGTTGCCCCCCAACCAGGGCGGCGGCGTCCGCGAAGACGTCGGCGCTGCCGGCGATGTCCTCGGCAGACGGCAGTCGGTCGCCGTAGCGCGTGAGGAACTGCATCGCCTCCGAGATCAGCTTGCGCGGGTCTTGCGTCGGCTCGACGGCCGCCGCCTCGGCCTTCACCTCCGGCTGGCGGGGCTGGCCCCCCCCAGCCTAACCAGCATCGAGCTTATGTCTACAGTCGGACCTAGGACAGAAGGACATCTTTCAAGAGAATGAGACCCTCCGCCGGCCAGAACACACATAACATCCAAGGGTACCCTCCCCAGGATGCACAAGATAATCCAACAAGCACGCAGAACATTAGGGCACCTTCCCCGAACCGACCTCGATCTTACATATCGCTCCGACTGTATTCGTATGATTGGCAAACCCAGGGCGGTGGCAATCTTCCTGGCCTGTGGTCGGTGTGGCTGGTGAGGAGTTTAGCTCCCCGCGGAAGGGCCAGGGCGATAGCAATCTTAGGGATGAGCACTCAGGAGCTGAGGGAATCCTCAAGAAGATCGGCACCAAGGTGTGGTGATGGCAACGACATGGGGGTAAAGATATGCTTCAGGCTGGTAACATCATCCCGCCTGAGTCTCGTCCTGCTGCACGTTGGTTTTCTCCCTGCTCCGCCCTCGTCGTTTCTTGGGAGACCAAAATGTACCGATACTGCTACTCCCCAGGCCTCTCCCAGGGTGCGTTCTGACCAGAATTTCGAGGCAAATCCTGCCCTGACGACGAGAGCCTCCCAGGAGGCCGAAGAGAAGGAGAATGAGGGAAGGTAGAGGCATGGGTACCTCTTCCTCCTCTGAGTTTCCTCCCTTCCTCCCTCCTTTCCCTCGTGGCCCAAGCCCAAGGCATCAAGAGCACTTCCGATCTCGATTCAGTTTGCGACTTCGCCCTCGAGACGCTCTGCGCCCCCCAAGCGCTGGAGCGTGCATGCACCGGCCGCGCCGCTGCAGATGCGCAGTTCCGAAAAACGGCTGCAGGCTCCGCCGCAGAGAAAAGCGAGACCCGAAAATCGAAGCAAGTACGGCAAATTCGCGTCGTGCCGACCTCAGCGGTTGGTCTCTGACACCGCGCTGGATAGTTCAACCTTGAACGAGCGGTCGTTTCTGAAACGTTAGATCGTTCAACATCGATCGATTCTGTGGCGCTGGCGGCGTTCAACATGAAACACCAGCGGCGGGGTCGCCGCCGGTCGACACAACGCGAAACCACCGTGCCATCAGCCCCTTCCCGTCCTCCACGACGGGGACCGCTCGGGCGAGGGACTGGCAGAAGGGGGGGAGGCATCGGGCAGAATTCGGCGATACGTCGCAGATAGATCGGCGAGTTGGCCCCCGACAGCGAGACCGCACGTTCCTGGAAGGGAGGGCTGTCAGGCCCCCATCGGCGATGAATGGGCGATTGAAAATCGATGCATCTCCCCATGAGCCTATTCTCGTCCCTGGTGGCTTTCAAGCCGTAACTCGGGCCTACGGAGGCCGTTCGGGAAAACCTGGGAACCTCTGGAACGCCCTCGGCGAGGCGCAGCTGCTGAAGAACACCTGGAAAACCACCGAAAACCAAAAGGAACCTCTCAAAACCGCGAACCTCGAACACATCCCCGTTGCCCCTGACTTCAGTCACTCCCTGGCTCTGCCGCCGTGTGCTGCCCATGCCCCGCCTGCCTCATCCCGGCTCCCATCTCCCCTCCTCTCGCCCGCGGCCTTGTCGTTCCTGCTCGTCGTCCATCGTCCTCCCTGCCTCGTCCTGGTATGTTGCTTGCAGTGTCGCTTCCCTCATCGAGTCGCCTGGCAAACTTCATCCTGGATTCCACAATCATGTGCTACGCTTTGACCCAATTTCGCTCTCTTAACCGTTGAACCAATCCGAAACAGTGAGCTCTGTACGGGAAGCAGATCAGGCCATTCTCCTCGCCTCCCCAGAGAGGTGCCATGCGTGCAACCGTCGCTGCACCGCTGTGTTTCTGGAGGAGGGTCAGCGGAATGCTGCGCTGGACGGGCCCAAAAGCAGACATCGCGTTTTCATGGGTGCTGCTGACCGTACAACTCGGGTACGCGTTAACATGGAATACGGATCCGTGGATCTGGTGCGCCCTTCACAGTAGACGGAACTGGCCATCGGCCCCTCCAAAAAATTATTGCAGAAATCCCCCTCATACTCTTCTTCCTTCTCATCGACATATTTAATCAGCATCATCATCAGCAGCAGCATCAGCATCAGCATCATCATCATCAAACTCAACATCATAATCATCAGCATCATCACCACCACGATCATCATCATCATGATCAGCATCAGGATCAATAGTATAATCAACATCGTCATCATCATCATCATACCATCATCATCACCACGATCCTGATCACCATCCTCATCATCATCACCATCATCATCAACAACAATATCATCCTCCTCATCATCACCATCATCATCATCATCATCATCATCATCATCATCATCATCAGGGCTGCTTGCCATGTGGTCACAGCACTCCCCCCCCGCAATGGCTTCAGACAGTTCAGACGGAAGCCTTTCCGAGGGGCTCCGGTCCGATCCGAAACGATACTCCCCCCCCTCCCCTGACATGCACCACTGCGAAACAATACAAAGTCGCGGAACATCACCACCAGAGCCCAAGACACCACCCGAGCGAGAAGCGAGATCGATCTATGATAGCCCCAGGGCCCGACACCAGGCGAGAAGGCCTGGCATGAACAACTTGCAACGCCCAGATCTCAGGGTCCCCCAGTCGCCCGCGCACCTTGTCGAGCTCATGCGAGATCTCCTTCTCCACCTCCACCACGGAGTCCCAGTACTGCTTTGTGATCGCCCCCTTGCAGAAGAGGCGCCAGTAGCCGCGCGCGTCGGCGTCGATCCGCTGCAGCGCTGCCATGCCTCCTATGGCGCGCTGCATAAGCCGGTACTTGAGCAACTCCTTTGCCTGTATGGGCAGCTGGCTCATCCAGACCTCGTCCGCCTGAGCCGTCTAGCCCTGAGATCCACGCGTCGCAATGTTTGCACGCCAGGCGGTTTCAGCCGATGTTGGGCTCTGGGACCCTCACATATCGATCTGGCAAAAGAATGCCACAGAACGATGGGGTCTAGGGCTCTGGTAGTGACTGCTCGCGATGTTACGTCGCGCAACGTCGGATCGTAGGGTCTTGGGGAGATCTGGAAGAAGAGCAAGCTGCACAACCATATACTGCCGGAGCTCCGCGCTGATTGCCTGGATCGGCGCTGGACCCCCCTGGCGGCGCCTCTGTTGACGCCTCTGGGGCGCTCCGCGCGCCCGAAGGGGGCTCCAGCGCCTATCCAAGCAACCCGCGCGGAGCTCCGACAGTTCATGATTCTGTGCTCTACTTCCTCTTCGAAGACGTGCCCTGACAGGGAGATGTCCAGATGGGTGAGAATTGCAGGGAGAAGGGTCGAAAGGAGGTAAGGGGGGGGGGAGAAGGGATGGAGGGAGCTGACAGGAGCAAGGGGGAGCCTGGCGACGAAAAGCTTGGCCCAGGGTAGGCCTGGTAAAAGGCGGTGGGTAGTTCTAGATCTCGCCGCCCTGGGGGGAGAGGCGGGGAGAGAGGTGGCAACCCCTTGCCCGATGCATACTTCAGCTGATAGGGACAATGCGGACAGATCGGCTCCGATCGAACGCATGACAACAACAATGGAAGGGACCACAGAAATTGCAAGCAAATCGGTCGTCGGACCTGCCGGAGTCCCGCACAGAACGAACGAGCTCCTAATGCCGCATCCCTACTCGTCCCACTTCCCTCAACCAATCCATCCCCATCCTTGGAGGAACAACAAAAACGGCATAAGCACAAACTGTTGGAGGTCCGCGCGAAGTTCTCGGATCCGCGCTGGGCCCCCTTCACTGGCGCGCGGAGCGCGCCAGGGGCGGCGACCGAGGCGCCGCATGGGGTGCCCGCCGCCGATCCAAGACATCGGCGCAGAGCTCCGAATGTGTGTCGTTACATCGATGGTTCTTCTTCGACGGACGCGCACCTACCCTGCCCCCCCTTGCCCTCACCTCAGGCATAGACAGAATCCAAGCGACTTCAACTGAAAGCCAGGCCGAATCCGCAAGAAGTTCCAAACGTGTATGGTTATGCTGCTTTCCTTCTTAGACTGACGCGAACCTACCCTAAACCGCCGTACCCTCACCTCAGCGATACACACAATCCAAGCGACTACCACTGACAAACTGGCCGGATCGGACCCCTCCGCAAAAGCGCGGGCAGCGCCTGGGAGCTCTTGGCGTACTGGCCCCGCAGCTTCTCCTTGAGCTCCAGGGCCGCTCGACGCTGATCCCAGCGGAAGCTGGCGTGAAGCTTCGTCGCTCAGCTTGAAATTCTTCCGCGTCTGAGTGCCCTCCGCCTCCTCCTGTCCTTCGCGACCGCCTTGTCTGCCTTGCTCCCTCTCTTGCACACCGGCCAATTTGCGCGTTGGTCGCCCAGGATCGCCGCCCGCTGGAGCAGCTTCTCTGCCTCGCCGCCGACCAAAACTTCGTCGCCGCCATACGGCGCCAGGGCTCCCGAGCCGGAACATTCGTCAGAGTGGTGAACGGCGGCCGTAGCCCGACGCTGCGCAGTGTAGTCTTGGAACGGTCTTCATTGCCACGAGATTCCCCCTGCCCGCCTCGCGCCGCTCCTCCCTGCTCGTCCGCCCCATCCCCCCTTCCCCCTTCTTCAACATACTGCGCAACCCCCCCTTGCACTTTGTTGGGAACAAAGGCTACGACGACGGTGTCCCGAGGCCCTGTGCAGCCACGTGCGTTCATGCCTGCAAGCACGCATGTGATCCGCAAGCTCGATCAATCTGCCATTTTGCCATCAGGGCTAGGCTTCTGCTTCTTGTCTTCACTTGTCGTCTTACTATCATTCTTATTATTGGCATTATGATTTGCCTTACCAGTCTGGATTATGGTAGTACCCTTCTTGTTATTATGTTTCTTATTATTCTTCAAGTGCACCTAAGGAAGTCTGGGAAAACTGGGACAAAAAACGAATCGAATGGAGCCCGCAGGCAGTCACGAGATGGATCAGAGGTCTTTCGATCCCCCGCCCGGCGAGGTATGACCCTCCTCCGCCTGGCGGGGCGGATCTATACAGCTAGGGATAGCAAAAGGGGGAGGCGAGTGTCCTCCTCTCCTCCTTCTCCTCCTCCTCCTCCTCCTTCTCCTCCACCTTCTCCATCCCTCCCACGATGTCCCGATCCTCCCTTTCGCCCCGATCCCCGACCCCCTGACCCTTCCCGTTCGCCCAGAGCAAAGATGGGCGGTTGTACCAGGGCCCGTAAAACAAGGAACCACTGCTTAGGCGACTCCAAACATTCTCCATCCCTCGTGTCTCCCCTTCAGACCTTCCAGAGCCATGATTGTGTCAATGTCCTGAGCTCGACTCGCTATCACTCGGACGTCCATTCCCCGTAATTTGTTCTTGGTGTCGTGCTTGCATATCTGTGTCGCAAGATGATCCAAGATGCTCGTCGAAGGCCCTTGCCGAGAAACGGATGCACACGTCCGTGCGGTGCCAAGCCAAAAGGCCCTGAGTGTGGGCACCACCCAGGACAGAAGCGGGAGGCCGAACGAGGGGAGCCGCGGCACTGGAACACAGACTGACTCCACAATCTCCCGTTTTCTCCCTCCCTCCTCCTCCTGCTCCTCCTCCTCCTCCCTCCCCCTCTTCCCTCCTTCTCCTCCTCCTACTCCTCCTCCTCCTCCTCCTGCTCCTGCTCCCTTCCCTTGTTCCACCTCCTCGTCCTCCCTCCTCCTCTTCATCCTCCTCCTCCTCCTCCTCCCTCATCCTCCATTCCTTTTCCTGATAACCAACTTCCCCCCGTCGCACCCCGAGGCCAGTCTTTGGGGCGGCCGGGCGTTTCGCCTGAGACTTCCTTACCACGTATGACTGTGAAGCTGAAATGTGGTCACAGCTTCACAGATGGAGGGTGGGTCGGTTTCAAAATGCGGCTCTCGCCTAGGCGCCGCGCACATTCGTTTAAAACATGGGTTTATGGTGGGTCGTTTTGAAAACGTGGCTCTCGCCTTAGGGCCGCGCACACTCGTACTACTGCTTTACAAGAGCTTCACGGATGGAGGGCGCGTCGTTTTAATGTGGCTCTCGACACAGCGCCGCGCACACTCGTCTCAAACATGTGCGAGCAAATCGCGGATTGAATGGGGTTCCTTTTCAACATGTGGCTCGGACCTTCACTGATTCCAATGATCAGCGTACCAGAAATGATGTGTGGGAAAGGTTCAGGGTTATGAAGGCACAACGGTTACGTTGATTCGCGGTGTTGAAATCCTAGGAATGGCGTTCTGACACGATTCAGGATTGTCAAGACGCAAAAATCAGGTTGATTCCTTGCGTTGGAATCCCGAAACTATTTTTTTGGCATGCTTCAGGGTCTTCAAACGGTTGTCTTCCAACGAGGCAGTTCACCCTGTGGAAATGAGCCGTTGTAGGGGCCTGTGAAGAGAAAGCTTGGAGGGACGGTTTATTCCAACATCGTTGATGACTGATTGGGTCTACAATGGTCCTCCTCCTCCTCCTCCATTTCTCTTCCTTATAAGACACTTCTCCCTGTCACACCATGGAACCAAGTTTTAAGGCAGGCCGGGCATTTCGCCTGAGACTTCCTTATCACGTATGACTAAGAAGCTGAAATGTGGCAATAGTTTCGCAGATGGAGGGCGGCTCCTTTTTCGAAATGTGGCTCTCGTCTTAGCGCCGCGCACATTCGCTTTTTAGAAATGTGCACGAGTTTCTCGGATTGAGGGCGGGTGGTTTTCAAAATGTGGCTCTCGCCTTAGCGCCCCGCACATTCGTTTCAAACATGTGCACTAATTTCGCGGATTGAGGGCGGGTGGTCTTCAAAATGTGGTTCTCGCCTCAGCGCCGCGCACACTCGTTTATCAACTTGCAAGAGCTTCACGTATTGAGGGCGACCCGTTTTCACAATGTGGCTCTCGCCCTAGCGCCGCGCACACTCAGTGTTATCAGTTGCGGAAGACTCACGGATTGAGGGCGGCTACTTTCCAAAATGTGGCTCTCGCCTTAGCGCCGCGCACATTGGTTTATAAAGTGCTTCAGAGTTCCACGGGTTCCCATGATCAGCGTACCAGAAACGGCATGTTGAAAGGATTCGGGATTATGCGATCGCATCAGTTACGTTGATTCGCGGTATTGAAGTCCCAGGAATGGATTTCTGGTACGATTCAGGATCGTCAAGACGAAACACTCAGGTTGATCCGTTGCGTTGGAATCCCGAGAATAATGTCTTGGCATGCTGAAGGGTCTTCAAACGGTTGTCTTCCAACGAGGGAGTTCCCTCAATGGAAATGAAGCGTTTTAGGGGCCTATGAAGAGGGAGCCTGGAGGGAGGGTTTCCCAACAGCGTTGATGATCCTTCGGTTTACACTGGTCCTCCTCCTCCTCCTCCTCGTCCTCCTCACCCTCCTCCTCCTCCTCCTCCGCCTCCTCCTCCGCCTGCTCCTCCTCGCCTCCTCCTCCTCCGCATGATCCTCCGCATGATCTTCCTCATGATCCTCCTCCTCCTCCTCCTCCTCCCTCCCTCCCCCTCCTCCAACCCCCCTCCTTTTCCTAGGCAGCGGCGGGAGGCCGGCCGAAGGGAGACCGCGGCCCCGAGCAGGCGATCGGAGCAGTGGCTCCACGGCGCGTGCGCCCTCGCCCCATCAGGGGGCCACCGATGGAGGGCGGGGGGGCTCACAGTGTGGCCGAAGCGCGTGCGGAGGGCGCTTGGCCTCCTCGCTTTCCTCGGACGAGCGAGTTCCACTAGTCGCAAAGCAGCTGCTCGTAAATGGCCTGGATCCGCCGCGGGGGATCTACGATCTACGATCCATCACGTACAGGAAGACATGTTTTGTTTCGGACGTTTGCGAGCAGCGGAAGGCGTTCGGTGAGCCGTTCTTCTCCGCGTCCTCCTGCGAATGCAACTCCACCCTCCGGCACCTCCCCCCGTTCCGCCCGCCAGTCGTCACTCTCCTGCTCGTCCTCCTTTTCTTCCCCGCCCCCCCTCTTTCAGGGCGGGGCGGCGCGGGAGCGCACTCTGGCGTGCCAGGTGTGGCGGCCTCGGAAGCTTTCATCATCGCTCGGATGATGAACGATTTCGGCGGCAAGCGAGGTGGAAAGTGAGAGGGAGAAGGCCTTTTTCGGAGGCGGCGGGACTTCTCAGAAGCCCCCGCGACCGCTGAGAAGTTGTCTGTGTCTCCGGGAGAACTCAGAAAACTTCTCAGAAGGCCGGGTGACTTCCGATCTTTCTGAGAAGGTCCGAACCTTATCACTTCCCCCCGGCCTCGCCGCCGATCTTCTGCTGGGATAGTGTTCAACGTGGAACTGGCACCTTAGCGACGTGCTGTCGTCCGAATATGCCAGTAACGGCTACAAGGAGAGAGGGAAGTCGTGTTCGAGATCAAGCTCGCCTTAGCGCCGCGCACGTTTCACATGAAAGCCGGCAGCACTTGCAGCGATGAAAGGAAATTAGCATGAGGCTCTCACCTGAGCGCTGCGCACATTCCTTGCAAAAGCGTTCAACAGCAGGTTCGACAGTTACAGCGATGAAGAACGGTTATGTTCATCATGGTACGCTCGCTCGGGGTTTACTGAAGTCAGAAGCAGCTACACGGATGGAGGGCGGTTCCTCCTCAAAATGGGGCTCTCGCTTCAGACATCCAGGAAGCCCACGGCCAGGTGCACGTCTGTGCAGCGGTAACAGGGATGGGGGGGGCTGTCGGTTCTTACAAGGAGACCATCGCATCGCTGGGCACCCCACTGGACTGCACAATCGGATCACACCTTTCTCACATGTTCTTGCTATTCGCTAGAAGGGTGTAGAGGCTTTCCCGTTGAGAAAACGCGGCGCTCGCCTGAATAACTGGACCACGTGGGGCTGGTCGTTCGAGGGTGCTTCTTGGGATCAGTAGGAAGCCTTCCCGTAGAACCCTGAGACAAGAGGACCTTGGACGGGAGGGTGTATTGCAGCACCGCTGATGCAAGTTCTGTTCGCTCTGGTCCTCCGCCGCATCATCATCATCATCCTCCGTTTTCCTTCTCCTCCCTCCTCCTCCTCCTCACTCCTCCCTCCTCCCTTATCCTCCCTCCTCCTCATCCTCCTCCTCCTCCTTCTCCCTCCCTCCCTCCTCCCTCCTCCCTCCTCCACTCTCCCTCCCTCCCTCCCTCCCGCCTCCCTCCTCCCTCCTCCCTCCTCCCTCCTCCCTCCTCCCTCCTCCCTCCTCCCTCCTCCCTGCCAGGACGTTGCTGCCGGACATCGCCAAGACACCGCTGTCGGACATCCGCTTCGACCTTCCTGCCCTATTCCCCACCCCACCCCGGTGAGGACCATCATAGGCTTCACCCGTAAGGACCATCATAGGCCTCAAACACCTTGCGGCTGCCATCATCGGGGCCGCTTGGGTCGCCCTCTCCCACTAATGCACCAGTACATTACGGCGTCAGTTGCCACTGGAAGGGGCCGAGGCCCTCCCTACGGCCCCTCGGCCAACGAAGACGGCCGTAGGGAGGGATGTCAACGTACATCCACAACTCATACCTGAATACCCTAAGGCGCCAATTGCCACCATCCAGCGTTTTCCTCCTCAGGGCCGCGAGCGGGATTTATTCCTCTGCTGGCTGATTGTGCCTGCCAATGACAGTTCACCTACGCATTATGGCGCATTGGCCACCCCACACCTATCCAAAGTGCTGAATCTGGGTGTTGGACGGCTGTCCATGCCACTTCGGTGTCACTCATGCGGCCGCCTCGTCCACGCCCCAACCACCAGGGTGACGGTTTGACCCGCGCCGCCACAGCGTCACATGTGCCGCTGTGGCGTCATTCATGCGGTCACTCCCTCTCCCCGCCCCCCACCAGGGTGATGGTCCGACCCGTGCCGCCACAGTGGCACATGTGTCGCTGTGGTGTCACTCGTGTGGTCGTTCCCGCTCCCCGCCCCCCCTGCGTGCCCCTCGAGGACGGGACTGGGCGACACAAAATCATACCCACACGTACCCTACCCCTCGCCGCTCCTCTGCCCGTTCGTCTCCGTTTTGTCCCCCTCCTCGCCTTCGTTGCCCCCCCTGGGCTGGGTGTCGCGGTGCCTGGGGGCTGGGGGACCGCTCCTGTTTCTACCCGCCCCCATTCGCCGCCTCCGGTCAAAAACCGACTCCTGCCAGGACCCTCCCCCGCCCCGATCAGGAACGCGCATGGCCGCCCGCGGCCGCTCGACTTTTTGACGCGCCCCTCTTCGGTTCTGCTCTCGGCGGGGCGCAGCTGCCCCTTGGGCTGGGCGAGCAGCAAGCCGGCACCTGAGCGTAGCGTGTGCACTCGTTATCCCCCCGTGAGATACCGAGTGCGCAAGCCCTGCTTAGCTTCGGTGTCGAAACTATGTATGCCAGTGTTGTTTGTGTGTTCACCCTATCCCTTTCAGGAACTCCCGCCTCGTTTCCCTGCCAGGACGTTGCTGCCGGACATCCCCAAGACACCGCTGTCGGACATCCGCTTCGACCTTCCTGCCCTATTCCCCACCCCACCCCGGTGAGGACCATCATAGGCTTCACCCGTAAGGACCATCATAGGCCTCAAACACCTTGCGGCTGTCATCATCGGGGCCGCTTGGGTCGCCCTCTCCCACTAATGCACCAGTACATTACGGCGTCAGTTGCCACTGGAAGGGGCCGAGGCCCTCCCTACGGCCCCTCGGCCAACGAAGACGGCCGTAGGGAGGGATGTCAACGTACATCCACAACTCGTCACCATCCAGCATGTTTCTCCTCACTCCTCACTCCTCTCTCCTCCCTCCTCCTCCTCATCCTCTTCCTCCTCCTCCTCCTCCTCCTCCTCCTACTCCCTCCTTTGATCCTATTCCATGACTTACCATCATTACTTTGATTGGTTTGATGTTTAGCCGCATCACTATTATATTATGATTAGTAATGTTCTCAACGAGTATTGTTAATATGAGTGGCTTTACCATTCGTCGTCTTAGTCGTGGTATTCCAACTCGTTAGAATTATGTTGTTAATAGTGTCATTATGTTTCGTAGCAGTGTGATTCGTCTGACTCGTCTTCGTCTGTCCATTATGAATGCTATTCGTGTTATTTGTCGTATGTGTATAGTGCTTGCTATTAGTATGGTTATTACTCTTACCATATGTATTATTCGTCTTCTTAGAATTAGTAGTATGGCTCTTATTAATATCATGTGTGGCATGCTCCGAATGTTATTATAAGTATGACGAATAGTCTTATGAATAGAGTGTTCGTCTTACTCGTATGATGTGTATTAGTTTGATTCGTAGTGTACGACGGTTTCTTATTTTAAGTTATGTTAGTATTGTTCCTGTTCGTCGTATTCATACTGATATGTTTAGTGTTATTAGTATTGGTAGTATCATTATTATCCTCCTCCTCCTCCAACTCCTCCTCCTGCTCCTCCTCCCCCTCCCCCTCCTCCTCCTCCTCCTCCTCCTCCTCCACTTCCTCCTCCTCCTCCTCCTCCTCCTTCGCCTCCGCCTCCGCCTCCGCCTCCTCCTCCTGCCCCTCCTCCTCCTCCTCCTCCTCCTCCTCCTCATCCCCCTCCTCCTCCCTCATTCCATTTCCGTCCGTTCCCTCTCTTCTTCCTCCTCCACCTCATCCTCCTTCTTCCTCCCTCTTTCTCGCCTCCCTCATCATTCCCTCCCTCCAGCTCCTCCTCTCCCTCAGCCTCCCGCAGGAGCCCTGACTAGGAACAGGCGTCGGCCCGGGAGATAGGCGTCGATCTTCGCGGCAGACAGGGTGACCCTCGAGTACTCCTGCCGAAGAGAAAGGCTGAGACGAAGTCATGACCAAAATAACACCAGACACGGATGACTCGGTAACATCTGAGATCCGCCGATTGAGAATGTATCAGGCACCGCGGCCGTTCCAAAAAGCTCTGGAGCGCTCTGAGAGCGTTCATGAACGCTTTGGAACGATGTATCCCTGTCCTGGGTCCGCCCGACAAGCATCTACCACCAAGTGCAGGTCGTCCGGAGGAAGATCGTAGAAGCACAAAATGCTTCTATCCTCAGAGGAAGAAAAACAACATAAACATAAAAATCCACAGCTCCGCGCGGATTTCTTGAATCCGCGCTGGGCCCCCTTGCGGCGCCTCCAGCGCCGCCCATGGCGCGCTCCGCGCGCCAGAGAAGCGGGCCGATCCCAGCAATTCGCGCGGAGCTCCGGAAGTGTATGCTTATGCAGTCTGTCCTTCGTCGAGAAATACATGTATCCCCAAACCAAGCGCAGACCCAACCAGCATTGCGAATCAAATGGCGCTGCCACTGGAAACGTGAAGCAAGGCCAGACGAGGAGGGAGGCGCCTGCATAAGCACAAAATGTGAAGCTGGCCGATGGCAAAGGTAGACTGGTTTGGGCCCGCCCCTGGCAAGGGAAGGCAAACGGAGGTCACACCAAGGAGGGCAGAGGGAAGCTCAATCGGTTAAGATAAAAGGAATCCTCGTCGACCAAGAAGGACACCAGACGGAAGGGAAGTATGCTAAGACCTGGAAATTAAAAAAGTCCCATTTCCAACAAGCGGCCCGCGAACACAACGGGCCCGTTTGGAGCCAAGATCTCAGCCGATGCGCGTCTCGCGGCGGCGACCATGGCGACACGCTATGCCCTGCAAGCGGATAGCGTGTCGCTCCGCTCCGCGGGGGCGGGAAGGTCTAAAAAAAAGGCGAGACATTGACGCCTGGGGACCCGGAAGTGATGGGCGTGTCGCACCGAAGCGTGGTGGGCCAGAATCGCCTGCGCGACATGCTAGGCCAAAGCTCCCAACCGTAGCCCGCCCTCGAGTTCCCCCTTGAAGGAGGACTGGTGGCAGGCGCGTTCCCAGACCCGCTGCTCCGGCTCGACGCCCAGCAACTCCAACCCGTCGGAACGCTCCGAGGAC